GCTTGTGCTCTATCTTTTGGTACCTGGTGTACTTGGACTGGCTTGGAATGGGTCTTTTCAGCTTCAGTCTTAATGACGATAAAATGAAACTAGCACCAGGTCTTGTAAACACAAGTACTCTAGTATTATCACTAGTCTCTTTACTGCTAGTATCTCTTGACAGAGTCGCGGCGACGTTCTATCCCTTTGCACACCGCGCCGCCGGTTCTGCACTGTACATAAAAGTTTTCGCGTTGACCTGGTGCATAGCATTGGTGATAGCTTTTCTTCCCGTATTCATCACGGAATGGAAAATTTACGGACATGATGTGTGGTTCAGAACACTTGATTTCTTGTGCATCCTATGTTTGATTGTAATTATGCTATCCTATACTGCTATCTTTATAAAAATCCGGCTTAAAAACAAGAAACATCGCCAGCACGAGCAAGAACTGTCCACCCGGCGAAGACAGAAGCGAGAGAAGCACTTGGCCATGACGTTGTTCATCGTAACYGTCTTGTCACTCATGACATGGCTTCCTTTTATCATAAACCATGAAATTGAACTCGTTGCTTCTCTGCCGCCAGGTCCGGCTCAGCAYAACATCGAGCTTCTAACAGAAATCGTGCAGTTAACAAATTCTCTTATAAATCCTATAGTYTACGTGTTTCGGATGAAGGAGTTCAGAGAAGCACTTTTTCATGCACATGTTGTTCAGGTGCTCGCGGGTTCAGCAACGTCGTATCTATCCTTCAGTGGGTAACGGTCAGGAGAATACTGCCACAAACGCGACAGGAGCATCAGAGCGTACACAAGAACTAGGAATCGTATGTGAAACCTTTCAACAACAATCTGCTCAATCATGAAACTCCTTAAAAGTGTCTTAGCGCTTTCGTGGTTTAATACTAGTAATAAAAATGTTCTGTGATATTTATGAAACTCATAAAACCTGTTAGTGAAACTATTCAAACCTGTCTGACCTGTTGGATGGTATCTGGTAAAAAAGTCGTTACTAGTTTAAACACTTTTAATGTTCTATGATATTTATGAAACTCATCAAACCTGTCTTGGAAACTGGTCAAACTTGTCTGACCTGTTTGATAATAACGTTTCATAAAAATGTTCTGTGGTATTTATGAAACTCATCAAACCTGTTTGTGAAACTAGTCAACCTGTCTGACCTGTTTGATGGTATCTGGTAAAACGTTGTTACTAGTTAAAACAAACACTTTTAATCACTGTGATATGCATGAAACTCATCAAACCTGTTTTGGAAACTGGTCAAACTTGTCTGACCTGTTTGATAATAACGTTTCATAAAAATGTTCTGTGGTATTTATGAAACTCATCAAACCTGTTTGTGAAACTAGTCAACCTGTTTGACCTGTTTGATGGTATCTGGTAAAACGTTGTTACTAGTTAAAACACTTTTAATGTTCTGTGATATTTATGAAACTCATCAAACCTGTTTGGAAACTGGTCAAACTTGTCTGACCTGTTTGATTGTATCTGGTAC